CCACTTTGGTACAAGTATTAGTAAAAAAATAGTGGCTTGCACTGTGATGCTATATCTCCATTTCCAGAGCTTTATATTTGCATCCTTTGGAGCCTCTGATCATGGTACAGATATAGGGAGCAAGGAGATGAGGATCAGACCTTGGATCTCAACACTTAATTGGGAAACATAATAGTCCATATTCTTCTCATTTCCTTTACCCTCATTGTAGTCAAGCTCTTTTATTGTATTCTCTTATTCCAATCTCCTAATCACTCAACCCCTTTCCAGATGCACTTTCATATGGAAATTGTTTTATTTTTTAATAAGTTTGATCATTTTCTGAATGATCTGTTTTACTTGGATTATTGCTTTGAAATTTAAAAAAAAAAAATCGTAACGTGCATAAGTGGAGAGTTTGTCCTCCTAATATGTGGTTATATTTCAGGTTTGTCCAGTGGATATCCCATTAAATCACACTTGAGCTCTCATGTGAAAACTAACAAGCTGGGAACGATTGTGGTTGGTCTTTCTGCACACGCACATTATAAACTGTTTGGTACCATGAACATTTGGCATACATCAGTCCAAAGAGCCTACCTTTTCTAAATCCTATTTACGTAACTGTTTCCTCAGAGGAATTGTGGGAAGTGTGTGCTAGCTGGAAAAAAAAATGTTAAGTAACTAAGGACAGTTCAGGTGATGAGTGGTGGTTTGAGTTCTAGCTCTGTGCAATGAGTTGGTAAAACTTGTGACTCTGAAGATGAGGAAGGAAATATCTTGGGGACCTCTTGCTCCACTGATCTCAAATTTTGGTTCAGTATCCATACCCTATGCCACCCAGAGATTCATCAAATTTCAAAGCATCCCTAGGAAGCTTGTTTATGTTTAGAACATTTAGCCATTTTCTAAACTGAAAAGATTTGCCAACCTTAACTGTAGTAAAAATGTCACTTTGTAGCAATATAGTGAAGCTTGTGTTGATTTTTGTTTTCCTCAGTGTCGTGATGCTCTGACAACCCGTCAGAAGCTAATAGCCCAAGATTATAAAGTCAGCTACTCATTAGCAAAGTCCTGCAAAAGTGATCTGAAGAAGTACCGCTGTAATGTGGAGAACCTTCCCCGATCTCGAGAAGCCAGACTTTCCTACCTGCTGATGTGTTTGGAGTCTGCTGTACACAGAGGTGAGAGGGATTTAGAGTTGGGTAACATGTCTTGCTCATTAGAAGATTTAAAGATTGAAGTAAAATGTGGGTAGATATTGTGCTCTTTAACAACCTTACACCCACATCTTAAAGTTTTATAGAGAGGTAGGGCTGGAAAAGACATCCAGAGGTCATCTTGTCCAGCCCTCTGCCTGAGGCAGGATCATCCCTATCCAAATCATCCCATGCAGCCATAATCTAAACTCTGCATAAGACTACAATCAACCCTGACACAACAACCCTAACACCTTAACCTGCCCCAGGTAAAGCACAGTGTCCTGCTTCTATAAAATGTAAAATGTTGTCAGTGCATGCTCAAGAGGTCCTGGTTAGAGGACCATGCCTCCTGCTACAGAGGAAAGTAAAAAACAACAACAAAAAACAAAAACAAAAAGGGGGCAGGGTGTGAGCAACAAGCAAAGCCCAGAAGCATGGGAAATACCCATGGTAGAAAATAGGCATAGCTACACCTCCTAGATCATCCTGACTAGTGGCTGTCCACCCTCTTGAACACCTCCAGTGATGAAGAGTCCACAATTTCCCTAGGCAGTCTATCTCATTGCCTCAGTATTCTCACAGTGAAGGTTTTTTTTTTTTCTCTGCAGCAGGAAAGAAAAGGTGCTTTACCTCTTCTTTATGGCAGCCCTTCAGGTATTTAAAGAGTGCTACCATGTCCCCCCTTCTTAAGCACCTTTTCCACAAACCAAACATGCCTAGCTCCTTCAGCCTGTCCTCGTATGACTTGCTTTCCAAGTCCTTGATCATTTTTCTTGCCTGCCTCTGGACCCTCTCTAACTTATCCATATTCTTTTTAAAATGTGGAGCCCAGTACTGCCCACAGTACTCCAGATGAGGCTTAATCAGTAGGGCTGTGAAGCTTCAGTAGCTGATTTCAATTTGGAGGAGATTCGGCGGCTGAATCTTGGAATCTGAATTGAAATGGGTGACCCATTAAGAGGTCCGAATTGAATCGGAAGCCTCCAAATCGATTTGGAGAAATTCAGGGCCATAGGCTATACAGGCTTCCCTCGCATGAAGCAAACCCACTTAATAAAGTAACAAATAGGGATAGGTTCCCAAGGTGGTGAGGGAGGGAGCGAGGCTGGGACTAGGGAAGGGGCAGGGAGAGGGGTGCCATTCCCAGGGCTGCACCATGCTCTGACTGTCCCCACTCAGGCAGCTGGACTCGGCTGCTCCCAGGGCTGCTGCAGCAGGGGCTGGGAGGAGTGGTAGCAAACAGAACCCTGGGCAGTGCGCGATGGAGTGCAGCTTGTCTGTACTCACCTAGCCCTTGCTGCAGTAGCCCCAGGAGCAAACGGCGCCTGCTGCAATGAGAACGGTCGGGGGGCAGCACCTCTTGCTGCTCCATGCCCCCTGGGAGGACTGTGGGCTGGGGGGCTGCGTTGGGCTCTTCTTTGGGGGGTGCGTGGCCCTGGATCTGCTAAAATAAACTTTTCTCGGTTTCATATAAAGCTTCTAAATTGCTGCAACTTACCCCATTTCTTTGAAAATGATGGTTTGAATGTATGAAGAATAGATAACCTTGTACTATGAGATCAGAAATCTATGAGGTCTGGTCTCTAATTATATTATATCAAGGGCTTCTCCTTAACAATAAGAGTCCAAAAAGGAACGTTCCTGTCCAAAAAGGAATGTTCCATTTTGGTATAAAAACATTCTTGAAATAAAGAATTTTATATTTCAAGCAGTCGTTGATTTGAAGTGCATTTAACAATTTGGTCTGTTTTCAATAGTAACTGAAGGTTTGTGGCTCCATCAGGTGTATTCAATAATTGTATCTTAGTGTCCAATATTGTACAAAATGCAGGTGATATTCTTGGTTCTTCAGTGTATGAAATGTTTTACTTCACAGATGCTCCTGGCATTTACCAAATAACTTCGCTAAATATTAATGCTAACTTGTCTCTTTCTCATTTGGCCTAGGTCGGCAGGTGAGCAGCGAGTGCCAGGGTGAAATGTTGGATTACCGGCGCATGCTAATGGAAGACTTTTCACTCAGCCCAGAGATCATCCTCAGCTGCCGAGGCGAGATTGAGCACCACTGCTCAGGGCTGCATCGGAAAGGGCGTACTTTGCATTGCCTGATGAAAGTTGTGCGTGGGGAGAAGGGGAGTGTTGGGCTGAACTGCCAGCAGGCGGTAAGGAGACTTTGTTGTTGTTGCTTCAGTCTGCTATTGTGCAGTCTGAAGCACTGTTTTCCCTCTAATTTCTTAAATTGTGATTAAAATCCTAGTAGAGACAATCTGGGTGTTCAGAGTATTGCTTTCTGGTGGCAATTGTAGAATTCTGGTAGTTTGAAGCTTGACTTGCTATCCAGTAATATTGGAGTAATTTTGTTTTAAAGAATGAATTGCAGTACCACATTGTTTTAATTATGTTTTTAGAAATTGAACTTGATACTTAACTGCATTGTTAAACGATTTGATGATGCAGGGTAAAATTCCACTTATGAAGATTTCATTTTCCTTTGCTACATGTGCAAAAAAAGCTTTTCACAAAGTTACTTTTATTATATGTATGCATCTCTCCTAGCTTGAGCAGTAAAAATAGAAAATTGCTGATATACCACAGTCTTTGCAACTAAACATTGTAGCAGGGAATACCAGCAGTTCTGTTAAAGGACTAAAAAAAGTAAGAATCTTTTTTTTTTTTTTTTTTTTTTTTGTCCTTGAGTTCTGTAAAGGTTGTCTTTCTAAACCTAAGTTTTGCCCAGTTGTCATTCATTTAACACCTATTTACAAACTCCTTAGTTCTAATTAATATAATTTGAAATTGGTTCTGCTTATTTTTAATCTGAAGTTGGAGCTGCCTTCTTACAATTAGGTTATTTTGGGAATTCTCAGCAGAAGCTGGTATCACTGTAAGTCTCAGACTACAAGTCACTGCTTTGGTAGATTTCATGCTGTCATGAGTTAGTATGCCGAAAATCTTCTTGCAGCCCTGAGAATTCAAACATTTGGGAAAGCTCCAGTACTTCCCTGAATATTTCTGAAATTTTTGAGACCACTTCTGATCCAACTATTACACTTACTTGAATTTTAACGTGACCCTCCTCCCCCATAATTAGATTCTATACATGGGGAAAATGTATAAATTTGTTATAATTTTCCATGAATAGAATCTAATTATTGGAGGGTGGTTTTGAATTCATCCCTTCTACCACTGCAGGGGGTAGGGCAGTGGGGAGGTAAAGTAGTTTGCCCCTGACACACCTGCCCGGTGCCTTCCCCCCAGCCTCGGTTTTCCCCTCTCCACCTAGAGCCTCTGCTCTGCAATGGCAGGCTTTGTCTGCATTCTAACTTGGGCACATGCTTAGTGTCCCAGGCTGCAGCATGGATGGAACTTGATATTGCAGAGCCAGGGTAAGGGGAGAGGTCAGGAGGAAGGGGAGGGGGCAGTGCAGGCGGCAGTTGTGGCTTTGGTCCTGACTCCAAGTAGGGGGTGGTGGCCAAGCCACAGCAACTCTTTCTTTCTCTTCCCCCCAGTATCCAATTCTAAGATGGTGGGCTTTTTTTCCCCGTGATGTTAAATGGGGAAAGAAACCTCATCTTAGAATCAAGTAAATACAGTATTGATTTTCATAGTGCTGTGCGGGCCGGGAGCGACCCGAGCCCTTTTCGCGCTGCATGTGGGCTATGGCCAGCAGCCCGGGCACGCCGGGGCGGAGAGGGAAGGCCTTCGAGCTGGAATTAGGCACGGACGCGTATCGGTAGTTTTAAAAGATTGTTTACTTACACCGAGATAGCAGCGGTGTAGGCTGGAAAGCTTGATTAAGTTGCAGTTACAGACAAACAACACAGACGGTCTCGTGGAGGTTGCTAGGCTCCACGGTGCAGAGCTCCGGATGCTCTGGGTGAACGAGCCACCAAAATAGAAATCGTAAATACGTCTTATAAGAGTTGCGTTCGAAGACGGGAAGAGGTGGGTGGTGGATCAGGCCGCCAGGCTCCTCTGGATCTCACACAGGGTTTCTATTACCCTGCCGTGTACCCAGAGTCCCCACGAAATAGATGTGGAGTCCTCTTCGGCTTGGGCGGAAACTGCTCAAGCCTCTTATACGGCTAACAGGCCAATCGTTAGTCGCCACGTGTGAATAATTTAGCACTCGCCAATCACGGGGAACAAATTTGCATACCGGTGGCGGGAACTCTTTTGCACCGTGCATTCCTCTTGCAACATGAGCAATGCACTCTGCAAAAGAAGCTGCAGAAAAGGCGGGAAACTGGTCCCTGCACCGGGGTTTCCTCTGCTACAGGAAACTCTCCCGTGCAATGCTCTGCAACTTGACGGGGATAATTCTGGTGCCGAAACACACACACACACACACACACACACACACACACACACACACACACACACACTCATGCCTTTTGGGTCATGACAAGTGCAAGATGTTTTGGTAGCATTAGCTGCTAGAGCTTACCCTTTAAATCAAATGACTCATGATCTTATTCTTTGGGGAAGAATAATGGGGGGGGCAGGGGAAGGAAATGAAATGTTTAATTATGGAGTTAACATATTTAATCTATTTCCATGGGTGAAGTTAGAGAAATTTAGGGAGAGGAGAAACAGAGACTTGGAAGAAAAAAAAAAGTTGAACTTTCCACTCTAGCAAAAGCATCAAGTATGAATAGGTTCTTAGATGTGATAAAACACTGTTTTACTTTTCTGTGGTGGTGAAGTCATTTTTTTGAAGCCTAGAATATGTTCTTAGAATATGTTTCTGAAGCACCCTCAGATGTCATTTATGCTACAAACAGACCTTATCAGAAGAGGAAAGGTTCACAGGATAAAACATATTAACACTGTCCTGTCCTATTGTAAAGGGTGTCTGAACAGTTGTCCGATGATACTGTGGAGTAGCAGAACCAGGTGATCCTCCAGGTATCCAACAGTGCAACACTGTGAGCCCAATCCTGGCCCCTCTTGAACCTTAAGCAGCCACTGTGGCCCCCACCACAGAGCTCTGCTGCCCAGAGATATCACTCACCAGGTGTCTGCCCATGTGTTAATTGCCCTGCACGGTGACTTGCAAGCCATCTTATGCTCTCCATCCACCTGAGTCTGGCATCAGTAGTCTAAAGCCACAGGGCATAGAGACTGATAACAATTGTATAAATATCAAATGATACTGATTAAATGACATGCACAACGTTTTCCCAAGCAAGCTAAGAAAATATGGTTTAGATGAACGGTTTGTAAGGTGGATAGAAAACTAGCTGGATCATCAGGCTCAGAGGGTTGTAGTCAACAGTTCAATGTCTAGTTGACAGCTGGTATCAAGTGAAATGCCTCCAGGGTGAGCCCTGGGGCCAGTTTTCTTCAATATCTTCATCACCTGGAAGATGGCACAGGGCACCCTCAGCAAATTTGCAGATGACACCAAGCTGGGTGGAGTGGTAGATATGCTGGAAGATAGGATTAGGATTCAAAGATACCTAGAGAAATTGGAGGATTGGACCAAAAGAAATCTCATGAGGTTCAATAAGGATAAGTGTGAAGTCCTGTACTTAGGATAGAGCAATCCCATGCACTAGTACTGGCTGGGCAGCAGCTTTGCAGAAAAGTATCTGGGGGTTACAGTGGACAATAAGCTGAATATGAGCCAACAGTGTGCCCTTGTTGCCAAAGGGGCTAATGGCCTGCTGGGCTGCACTGGCAGGAGCATTGCCAGCAGAGTGAGGGAAGTGATCTTTCCCCTGTATTTGGTACTGGTGAGGTCACACCTGAAGTACTGTGTCCAGTTTTGCCCCCCACCCCAACTACTGAAAGGATGTGGACAAATTGGAGAGAGTACAGGCTAGGACAGCGAAAATGGTTAAGGGGCTGGGGCTTATGAGAACTTATGGGACGAGGCTGAGGGAGTAGGACTTCTTCTGGAGAAGAGAAGGCTAAATAGTAGCCTTCAACTCCCCTGAAGTGGTGTTCTAAAGAGGATGGAACAAGACTGTTCTCAGTGGTGGCAGATGACAGAACAAGGAGCAATGGTGTCACGTTGCCTCAAGCCCTGTCTCTCCTTCACCTCCAGCCACCGGGCTGCATTATGAGTGGCTTCGCCAGCCCGTGGAGCTGAGCCTGGCGGCAGCAGGTGGGGGAGAGCCCCTGGCTAGGGCTGTACTTGGAGCCAGGGCCGCACTCCAAGCAGCTCTGCCACTGGCTCTCCACTGCTTCCTGCTGCCAGGCTCAGTTCCGTGGGGCTGCAGAGACTCCAGCTGCCGGGCTGTGCTCCAAGTGGCTCTGCCAGCCCTGTGGAGCTCAGCCTGGCAGCGGAAAGCTGCAGGAGAACCAGTGGTGGAGCTGCTTGGAGCGCAGCCCTGGCTAGTGGTCTTCCCTGCCTCCCGCCACGAGGCTCCGCTCCGTAGGGCTGTGGAGCCTTCTGCCACTGGCTGTGCTTGCCAGGGCTGTGCTCTGAGTGGCTCCCCCCCTGACTCTCCTGCTGCTGGGCTGAGCTCCATGGGGCTGGAGGAGCTGCTTGAAGTGCAGGCGGGTGGTGGGGAGAGCTAGGGTTGTGCTCCTAGCAGCTGTGCCAGCCCCACAGAGCTCAGCCTGCCCTAACACTGCTAGACTCCTCGCAGGGGTGCGGGCTCCCAGATCTGTGCGCGGGATGACAGGAGGCGGCGGCTGCTGCTGCTGCTGCCTGGGATCAGCGGCAGCAGCAGTCTTTCCGCGCCCAGGGCCCGCGCCCCTGGGAGGAGTCCGACAACCCCACAGCCCTCCTTGGGGTGCAGGCCCCAGATCTGTGTGCAGGATGGCAGGAGGCTGCTGCTGCCAGCAAGCAACATGAATTTTGCTTTTAGCAGTTTCAGGTGCAGTTTCTCAGAAATGCCTGCACCTATCTCCTTAAAACATGGCAGGCTTCCTGCCCTCAGAAGGGGCTACTATCCCTTCAATTTTCATCCCAATTAAACTAGAAATAAAGTTGTAGGCATTTTCATGATTCCCCATTATAGCTTATGGGCAAAACATGTTGAAACAGCGAAAGTTTTGACTAAATGAAATGGAACCGTGCTTTGTAACTAAACAAAAATACTGTCCCTTCAAAATAGCAGAACAGAAATCTAAATGAAATGGTGCTGTTTTGCACAGCCCTAGAGGGTAATAAAACAGTGGAACAGGCTACTAAGAGAGGTGGTGGAAT